AGGTATGCAAACTTTGCGCTATCTAGTTTTATCTTGCCTTTGAAGGATTCTAACTTGAGCTTCGGAGCCTTTACACCGGGTTCCCCCCGGAGCTTCCTCATCTCCTCCGTTTCAAGTTCCTTGCTACTCAGTTCAGAGGCAAGGTCGTTGACAGCTAAGACCGGCCGGATTGCGCATCATCAGTTTAGAATCATGCGTCGCTCTGCAAGAGCATGAGACTATACCTGCCTTTTCTTGGGGATGCCAAGGAGGCAACGAGGACAACATATTACTCGAAAGAATCGTGGTGAAGATGATTTCGTAAATTAAAATAAAAGATAAATTTAATTATAAAAGGGTAATTTCGGCATTTAAAAAATTTTAAACACTCAAATAAGAATCTTTTTCGAAATTAACTGACAGAAAGTTAACGGAGAGGGGTCTTTATGTAATGGCCAAAATTCAAAGAGATTTTTGTTGAAAAAAAATACAGGGAGATCTTTATCACAGACCCATAGTACAAGGGGGTCTTTATAATTTACCCCCTTTTTTTTTCATTTTCAGCTTTCATGATGCAGCAAGTGTAATTTAAGTTTGATAATTGGTCCTACCTCTTGAACTCAAGAATAAATATTATGCATCATTCATTTGGGACACTCTGAATTGTACCTAAAGTTATTATAGTATAAAATAAAATAATATGGTTCAGTTATTCTTCTCATGGTTGTCCTCAGAACGATCACATTGATTAAAAAAAATAACCACACTGATATTACTATAGCTTGTAATATACCTGTTATGATTCATGGGTAAAATATACGACATTGCAGGGTAAAACATCTTATTACATACAAATCATCTCAACGGAGTTTCTCTTTGATGAAAGAATCAAAAGATGGTTAGAACAAATTAAGGACAGTAGTTCCTTGTTAGTACATATGCTGTTTTCACAATTTTTATAAATTCCTTTCTCAACGATTGCAGGGCAAAACAAAAGTTCTCTCTCTTCTTACAGGCCATGCATTGAGTTGACGCATTTTCCTGAATAAGGAATACTATAATATAAATCATTATTACAACATGTTTTTAAGGCTCATTAAGTGGTGCAATGATCCTATCTTAGAGGTAATAACCAATTAAGGTTTGACTTTATGCTATTATAATGCTCACAATATTACTTTGAAGGCTAAAACGGCATAAATGCATGGTCCCATTATTAATGAAAGAAAGGCATAGTTTTATTCACTTCGGACCCAGTTACGTATGCGTGCACTCCAATTATATCTTTGGAGATCTGAAATGTCGGATTTGGATCGAATTCGGATTTATTTAATCCACATTTGTCTAGTTGTGCTTAAAATGATAATAATCCATGTATGATAAATGTATATAACTATAAATGTTAAACGTATTAATTATAAATTTACATATATATATATATATATATATAATTTTTAAGGGTAAAAGATTTAAACATACACCAAGTTTTTAATTATAACATCATGTATTGATCCATTTTTATATGGACAGTTGACTTATTAATCCACCACCTAAATGGAAAAATCATTTTGCTTTTTTGGTTGATTTTAAATCATGTATTCTATTTTCATCATTAATAAAAGTAATTCTTATTTTCACATTTATTTTTGTTTAAAATGATGAATATGTAACATTATAAATGTATCAAAATGTTTTATTTAGAGCTTATACTTTTTTTTGAGTTTCTATATATATTTTTAATATTTATTACTTAGTTATGGCATCATAGATTTACCCATTTGACTCGAAATGTTAGATCATTGACCTACCATCTAGATATGAAAATGGTTTCATTTTCTGATTGGTTTAAAAATCTGCATTTCATTTATATCATTAATAAAATAATTATTATTTATCACACTTATTTTTGTTTATATGATTAATATATAATATTATAGATGTGTTCAAAATTTATTTTATATTTGTTTTTATATTATTATATTTTAATTTTTTTAATTATACATCATGGGTTAACCCATTTATCCTAAAAGGTTGAAATACTAACCCACTCTCTAGAGAGGAAAATGATTTCATTTTCCATCGGTTTTGAGTTGTATATTCCAAGTCCATAAATAATAAAAGTATGTCTATTTTGTCATATTTAACTTTTTAATATGACAAGTATATAATAATAGAAATGTGTCCATTTTTTCAAAATTTCTTTATTTTATATATTTTTTTGTATTTTTATATGTCTAAATTTATATTATTTATTTATAACATCATGAAATTATCCATTTGACCCAAATGGTTGAACTACTTACCCACCACCTACATGGAAAGTATGGTTTCATTTCTAGGTTTATTTGAAAACATAAAATTTTATTGTATTAATAATTATTGTATATGAATTTATTAGTGGAATTTAATGATGAGAAATAAAAGTATAAATATTGGATTCAATGAGAGAGAGAATAAGATTTATTTAATGCCTTAAATGTGAGACTTAATGAGAGGTAATTGAATGTACTTAATAGTATTGTTTTAGTTACATTTTCAGCCCTCTCAGTGAAGATGGATTAAATTCAAGAGGAGGGGTATTTTAGTGAAAACCTCTTAAAAATCTAAAACCCTAATACTAAAGTCTCCTCTTGGAGTCTTGGTTCACAAATCACAAGTACTCTCCTCTCCCGTATTCAAAATTTCAAATTGTTTTTCTTTCTAATGTTGTTGTAGCTGTAGCCAAAATCACTATTAGTATCTTGGAGAGAAAACAAGTATTCAATATTCATTCTTCTTTCTTAAAGTTCTTTTTTAAGTTAAGACTTACGTATAGTCCTTTTTTTATATTCTGGGTAGCACCACAATCTAGTAATTATCCAATATCTCTTATTCTTCCTTCAAACACCTACAGGCCATTGGTTTTTTTGATTACATCTCATAAACATTGTTGGTGAAGCAAAGACAAGAAGGTATATATCATATCAGCATCCTTGTTAGGTTTTTCTTTATTTTATTTTATCTTATTTCTACTATACATGGGTTCATGATGGACTAATTTTGAATGTAAATTTTTAGTTTTGTCGAAGGATTGATTTGTGTACATCTTTAATGAAAAGAAAACCATTTTTCTATTACCATAGAATTCAAAGAAAATTCCAGGTATATCTTATATTTTTTAGATGAAATAATCTTCCTTTTTAATTTTATGATGAAAATTATATTGCATTTTTTCTTTTCTAAATGCAATATATGTATCACACATACACATAAATGCATATTAATTTTTAGTTTGGGGCTTTGGGCTGGTTAACCAATCCAAGTCTGACCCAGGCCCAGGCCCAACCCGAGTGCCTGAAATTTTAGTGTGGGCTGGGCTTGAGTTAGATAATTCGGACTTGACCTCAAGCTCGGGCTGGGCTCAGGCTTTACATCCAATTCTTAGGGTTGAACTTGGGTTAAGCTAAAACCTGGCCCAGTCTGCCCGATTTACACCCCTACATGGAACAAGAGAATGGTAAATTTACTGCCAAAAAAAAAAAAAAAAAAACCTTCCTAGACTCAGAGATAAGCACTAATGACATCATTAGAGCGTTTGTTTACTATAAATCTGGCGGTTGGTCGATATGTCTGGCGGTTGGACGATGTCTGGTGGTTGGACGATATACACCATAAAAATCTGGCGGTTGGTCGATATGTGTTTTTTTTCGGGACACTGGATTTAAGCCCAACTGCCCAAGGCATGACCTACAGCTTGAATTGAAAGGAAAGCAAAAGTTCCAAGTTGCAAGAAAAATGAAATCCCCTTCTTCCTAATCCTACCACGATAATATCTCATAGTCATAAGGTATTTAGTGCGGTCTGCACTTACTATAATCGTCCCAAGCATAATTACTACGACATAAATTCAACAGGGTTCCACATTTTAATGCAGCATGCGGGAAACTGTGGTGGATTTTAGTGGAATCCACATTCCACTATTCCAGTGCCCAAAACATAACAAACGGCTGAAAACAAAAGTTCTCATTTCTCAACTGGAAATCTGGAACCATCATCCTTCTACTAGGCCAAACGACTCCAGAATAAAACATAAAAAACAGGCAATTTCTTTGGGCCCAGTATGAAAAAACAACTGTTCACAATCTATGGGCCCAACCCAACACCCGCCAACCCCCATCCCCTTGACCCAGTGACCCCCTCAACACTCAACCCCAAATGGGGTAGCCCATGTACTTATTCAAACTTGAAAGAATACTTTTTGGTAGGTATACTCACCACATGGATCTACTCGTCAATGTATAGAAAAGATTAAATTAGAAAATTAGTTAGAGGCTTTTCATACTCTTTTTTTCTTTTTTTGGTGAATCAGCAATTTCGTACTCATTGTAGTTTAGTAAATGAATACTTCTTTACCACAGACCATCATTAAAATGAAAAACAAAAAAAAGAAGAAGAAGAATATTTCTTTACCGTTGTTTTTCATATGTCCAAATTTTCTGTAGTTATAAAAAGGCGATAGAAAGGCCACCTTGAGCAGTGAGCACCAAGTCCCAAAACTATATAACCAGCCATGGCAATTCAAGGTTCTCAGTCGCAGCAAATGTTGGTATTCTGCCTCATAGTCCTCCTGATTAGCTCGCCGTCGTCTCGTAGTGGGGGTGTTGTAGCAAGTCATGACTTTTTTTCAAATTCAATCAATCGAAGCAGTTTCCCGGCGGGTTTCCTCTTCGGCACCGCCTCATCTTCTTTCCAGGTTTACTCATGTTCATCTACTAATCTACTATGGATGATTAACAAGCTTCTGTGTTGTATTGGAATTCTAAATCTAAATTTGTGTTTGTTCTGTTTCTCGTGTTCTTGTTTCCCTGTTTGATTCAGTACGAAGGTGCAGCCAAGGAAGGAGGGAAAGGCCCAAGTATATGGGATACTTTCACTCACAGATACCCAGGTCTCTCTCTCTCTCTCTCTCATGGAAAGAATCACTTTCTGTCTTTCTGAATATATCTATATATGCACGAGAAAATTTTTTTGACCGGTTCTAAGAGATCTCCACAGTCCACATAATGAGTTGATCGGAAGGGATCGATCGGCTCTGGTCCTATTAAACATTTATTCTATGAAAATAGTTTGTGTCCTGAACCTCTCCCCTAATTACTCCGACTCTATATGGGTTGTGCCCGGAGGCGGAGACGCAGAGATACATTGGGAAGAAACTGAAAACAAAACATATCTCATCCTTCACAAGTTGTAACAGACCGCTGCCTATGATTAAAAAAAATGGCCAGAACTATTATCATTTAATTAATTTCTTTAAAACCTTAATATTTAAAATTACTAGTTTTAATGGTACTTTGCATTTGGAATAATCTATGAATTTATGCTGTGCATATTCATATTCATTTGAACCTTAGGGTCCGTTTGGCTTGCTGGTGGAATTATAATCAAAATCCCTCAAAATTAGAATCAAAATGGTTTATCGGTTTGGTTTAGGCAGGAACCGAAATTGGAATTGGAATAAAATGGAGGGGAATCTCACTGCCAAAAAGGGGGAGGGAATGAATGGCCATGCCCTCAAATAGAGAAATTCCATTCCACTAAGATGGGAATTGCATGGATTCTAAGTTTCGCCCAGCCAAATGGTTGAAATTGAAACAGACCATTCCGATTCCAATTCTAGACCCGTATTCTTGCAAATCAAATGAGCCCATGAATTTAGTATTATTAATGCATTCGTGGAAGGTGACACACTTATAATATCTTAATCTTTTTTTCTTTTTAATTTACTGGATACATGCATTTCAAAAGCACATTATATGTAGGGGTGTCGATTGAACTGAATTTGGTCCAATCCGATCCAGTCCAATGTGAGTCCATTGCAAATGGATCAGGTTCAATCCGATTCAATGAATAATTTAGACCATTTTGGACCGGTTCAATTCAATGTTCGGACCATCCAATTTATTCAAATTCATTTTAATTTAGTTTGGTTTCAATACAAAGCCGGTTCATTGACACATATTCTTATCTTATATCAATGGATCAAATATTGGCTTAATCCAACCAAATCCAATATAAATTTATTACTAACAGACCAGGTCCAACCAATCCAATAAATATTTTGGATTGGATTGATCCAATCCACTTTATCTTTTTGGTCCGTTCAATTAATTGTCGTCCAAAACCGGTCCATTGACACCCTTACGCCTTAATTATATAATATTGTCTCCTAAAATTGACTTCACTGGACAAACACTCTATGGCATGAATACTTTGCATATGGGCAAAGCTTTTTATTAATTAAGCGTTCTCCTGAACCATCGCTGTCCTTGGGTCCTCTTCCATGGATAAAATGATTGAGCGGCAAGTGCAAAAATGGAGAGAGAGAGATCTGGATAATGGATAAGATTGTCTTTTTATGATGGTGTACTTGATACAGTAAAAGGCATAGGCTATCAAGCTAAGTAAGGCTCTCTTGGAATTTCGATAGCTTAACACCATGGTTTTTAAAATCGGATTGGATTGGATGGTGGGATCAGAAAAATTAGAAATCGGTCAAGTGATTGATTCTGTTTTATCGAGAACTGTTATTTTGTCAAAAACCATTAATTTTGTCAATACAAAACTGTTGATAGATTTTAATCAAATGCTTTTTCTTTTCTGATAAGTAAATTTTAAGCAAATGTTTACTACAAATCATACAAAACTGTTGATAGATTTTATGGTGATGCGACAGATAGGATCAAGGATGGTAGCAATGGAGACGTGGCCATCGATTTTTACCATCGGTATAAGGTGTGCCGTTGATCTTTGCTTATTAATTCCCTCTTTTAATAATACTTGCTGGATTTTCCTTCTTGTTCCTTATGGTGGAGCCAAGTATGCCCCCATCAAATTGTCTAAAAAACATGTATTAATACAATATCATAACTAATTAACTCCCTCATTTGTTTTCTATAAATAAAGAGTGTTCCGGATGTCGGTGAGCCTTGTTTATGCAATGTTTTGAAAATGAAACTTCGGATGATTTTTTACTGTTTGGCACATGTAGTGGTGCCTAATGGTGCTGAGTTGTAAGAAAATGTTTAAAGGTGATTATTCTTCCTTGTTTTTCGAAGCAACTTCATTCAAAATGTTCATCAGTTAAACGCAATCGATAAAAAACAGCCCCTTAATGTGGATTTGGATCTTGTTTCTCTTAAGCCCCCCTCTCTCTCAAGCGGGGTGTATTTGGATCAAGATAATTACGAATATTTGATTTTTTTTGGTGATTTTAATTGTTAAAAAAAATTAATTTTTTGTTAAATTCTGAACCATCAACTGGGCTGAATGGTTCAACCATCAGTGATAATGATTTATTGATCAATTCAACGGTTTTTTAAGAAAATCGGTCCGGATAGTAAATAGAATCGAATAAGTGACTGGTTCCTGGGTCCTATTGTTTGACTGCTTAGGTCAACAACAGTTTCAAAACCATGCCATCACCAATAAACCGAAAATCCCACACCAAAACTGTCAGCAAGATACCAACCAGCTGGTTGGTAAGGTCTCTTGTTGGTCGTAGTGGAGACTAGGGATTGAATCCCGCCTGCACCTGGGGTGGGGAATGGGTTACTCCCGTTGCGTAGCCCTTCAAAAGAAATCCAAAAAAAAACTTAAAAAATACAAGCTGTATTTGGTTGCAATGCAAATAAATTTGCACTGATGCAAAACCATGGCACTGTAAATGATTTAAGTGTAAATTCTGACTTGTTTTTTTTTCAAACTTTAACTTATTTTGTTTGGTTGCAGTATAAATGAAGTAAGTTAAGACAAAAAGCAGAATGAAGTAAAATTCAAAACCAAATTAAAGGAGAATTTACACTTGCACTCCTATACATTTGTATCAATGCAAATAAAGTTGCACTGCAACCAAACACAGTTAAAGGGATTTAGAGATAACGTGTGGAAAAACTTTAGCTGTTGGGGGCAACAGCCTGTGCTGTTGAGAGAGTTTCTGGAAATGTCACGTTACCATGAGAATGAGAATGAGTAAACTGTCTGAACAACTTACAAAGTTAACCTATAACGTATTACCATGGTGAACCCCAACCCATGCCAAAAACAAGTAAGGGAGTTGTGCCCCAGCACATTTCAGCGTGCATTTGGGACAATCCAACATATTTTTTAATTCAAACCACTTGTTTGTATTTCCCAAAAATGCATGTGATACAATGAGTTTGAAGAATAAACCCAGAAACTACCTAATTGGCCTTATGTTGCCTTGAAATAGGGATTTTAACGAGTCGAGTCAGATCCAAGGATCAAAATTTTGTTACGTATTGATCGATACATACCATATTAGAGCCTTTTTGATACGCCCCTACAAGGGGTATTTTAAGTCGGTAAGTGGTTCAAAGGGTAGACCAACCTTAAACTGGCCCCTTTGAACCTATTTCGAAAAAAAATAAAAAATAGTACCGATACAGGTTGATACGCTGGGCATATCGGCCTGTATCAATATTTTAAACCTTGGTCAGATCATCCCTCAACATTCAAACTTCATTTAGGTTTCCGAAATTTAACCTTGTTTGTATTTACAAAAAATGTGTTAAAGAATCAGTAATTATAGCCTTCACAAATAATAGGCACCATTCATGGGTTGGGTTGGCATTAAATTATTATTTGAAACCTTATAGTGGGGACTGGAGATGCAAAGTAAGGTAATGCCTGGTATTATTGCTGCTTTCTAGACAATGGTCACGTCTTAGAATTTGGTAAAGTAAATTCGGGTTTTGGTTCTGTGTAGGGGTGTCTGTGGATTGCTTTTGGGTTGGATCTGTTCAAGTTAAAATCAATTTGAATGGATTGGACGGATTAATAGCATATTGAATTAAATCAGTCCAGACTTAATGATTCAAAGTATTTATTGGATTGGATTGAATATGGTCCATCTGTAATGGATTTACATTAGATTTGGTCAAATTGAACCAATATTTGATCTATTGATAGAAGATAAGAATAGAGGTATCAACGGACCAGGTTTAAGATGAAACCAATCTAAATTAAAACCAATTTAAACAGATTGGACGGTCTAAACATTGAATTAGACTGGTCCAAAAGTATTTATCAGATTGGATTGAATCAAATCCATCTGTAATGAAATCAAATTGGACCAAATCAGGTCAATTGACACCCTTAGTTTTCAATGAAACAAAAAGAAAAAATGTGAGGGAAAAAACAAAACACCTATATTATACTGACGTGACAAAATGCCTAAAAAAAATTCCGGTACCAAAGACGGCCCACCTATCCCTATTTCAAACATATACAGTTCAATGGGCTTGGACCCTTTAACAAGTGATCAACAATCGCCTACGTTATATATATATATATATATATATATATATATAGTAGTCCTTATAAAACAAAGTAATGCTACATTTTTTTTCCTGAAAAGCCCTCAGGCAAATTCCATTCAACCACTAAAATCCTGGCTTTACAATCATAGAAGAAGCATAAAATTAAATCACACCAAGAAGAAAAGAATGGAAGCCTACTGCCTACCGACCCACGACCCAAGAAAAGTTATCAGATATATCTGAGAAGGACAAGAGAAGCTTCTTGCTATCTACCTTGTAAGGACATTTGATAATATTGATATATATATAACTGAAAAGGGTTTTATTGATTGTGCAGGACGATGTTGACATGATGAAAGAAATTGGGATGGATGCTTTTAGGCTCTCCATCTCGTGGCCGAGACTCCTACCTAGTAAGATTGGTTTCGATTATTATTTTGGCATCTGGACCCGTTAATCTATTTGTATTACACAATCTCCTCAAACAATTCATATATATTACATTCTAATGCACATCAGCGCTATAAATGTTGCACTTGTAACTTCGCCCTCTTTTTCTTGGGGTATGTAGTTTTTCTGATTGCCCTCTCTTTTTTATGGGAGAAATTCCATCTTATTAAGACCAAAAAGGGTCTCAAGTTCCTGGTTTACCAGCTCAACCGGCAGTTCAACCTATATAAATTTTGGTAATTATTGGGTTTAAGTGACTCCAGAAGGGCCTTGGTTCTGATTGAACCCGGTCCTACTTGGATGGGCCAGTCTGATTGAACCCGGTCCCACAAGAGGTGGGTATAGAACTGATGTGGACTGGGGACTAATTACTTGGGTCCCCCTATTCAATGAACAGTTCAGATCGCCCACAGGATTCCTCCACTTGGCAGAAATTGGTGGGACCGTCTAGCAAACTTTCCTACTTGATCTTATTAGATAGGAAACCTTTCTTCTTAATCGCATATGATCATACAGGATTATATCTTAATATTTTTTGTTTTTCTATGCTTCAGATGGGAAGTTGAGTGGGGGAGTAAACAAAGAAGGCATAAGATTTTACAACAGCCTCATCGATGAACTTCTATCCAATGGTTCTCTCTCTCTCTCTCTCTCTCCATGTTCTGTCTATCTATCTATTTCGTCTCCAGCTCATGGGTACGTACGTATCTCTCGTTCATAGGTATCCAACCTTTTGTGACACTTTTTCATTGGGATCTCCCGCAAGCTTTGGAAGATGACTACGGTGGTTTCTTGAGCTCTAAGATCATGTGAGCAATTCGTTTCCCCTTATCAATTAACCTGCTGATGAATTGATGAATTAAGAAACTAAAAATTGTAATAGCTATAACCCATCAGTCGTACTGAAGTCTCGATCCCGTGGAGATTTGTTCTTGATCAAACCGATTAAATATGGTGGGAACTCATAATGCAGTGAGGATTTTCGGGACTACTCGGAGCTCTGCTTTAAAGAATTTGGTGACCGGGTGAAGCACTGGATTACCTTCAATGAGCCATCGATCTTCAGCAATCAAGGATACTCATTGGGTAGGTATGCCCCAGGCCGTTGTTCTCGATGGGTGAACAGCAAGTGCTCTGCTGGAAATTCCGCTACCGAGCCTTACGTGGTGGGCCACAATCAGCTTCTCGCTCATGCAGCCACAGTGAAGCTGTACAAGGAGGAGTATCAGGCTGCCCAGAAAGGCAAGATTGGAATAACACTGGTCTGTCACTGGATGGTGCCTTTCAGCAACGAGAAGCGCAACGTTGCTGCTGCCCAGAGAGCCATTGATTTCACGTATGGATGGTGAGTTTTGCATATGGATTCCTTATATATATAATTAATCAGAGCAACAGTAATAAGTGTTATCACGTTGTATATCTAAACTCCAAGTCTATCCTACTGTAAAAACCAGCTCAAAGGGTCTAAACCCACAAAAGAACCACCCAAGAATAACAGTCTCGACTTGAACTCATTTCTCAAGTTGCACCAATTAGAAGAGAAATGTTCAGGTTCAGTACTGTTTAATTTTCATGCTTTCTGTAGGTTTATGGATCCGTTGGCCCATGGCGACTACCCAAAAAGCATGCGATCTCTAGTCGGAACTCGGCTGCCGAGATTTACCATAAAGCAATCTGCACTGGTAAAAGGGTCATTCGATTTCCTTGGATTAAACTACTACACTGGATTCTATGCTGCTGATGCTGCTCCCTCCAACACTATTGTCAACGTAAGCTATAATACGGACTATCATGTTAATACCTTTAGTAAGTTCAACAAGAAAACCCTAATGGAATTGGTTTTCGGTTTAGATTAATTACTACAGATGAGAAAACAGAACCATGCATGTACATATACTTACACAAGCTTCTTAATTTTTTTTTTTAATGTACAGCCCAGCGAAACGAGACCCCTATTGGTCCAAAGGTCTGAGTTTTTTCCCCGGCCTCAAATAGCTACTGATTCTTTTTATTGCTCAAGTTGCGAAATTTAACTCTTTCATGTCAATCTGTTCATGTCTGGACTTGCAAACCAGCTGGGTTTCAGGTTACAGGACGGAATAAGCCCAATTCAGCTTTTCTCAGCTGACCCTATTTTCTTCTCATCCTCCTGCAACCAACCTAGTATTTGGGTTGATGATATCCCCAGGAATTCCAACCAATCTAATATACAAATCGTTCGTATTGTGTACGAGTTGACAGACAGCGGTATCTTGGCTCAGTGTTTATCCCCGGGGAATTCATGATCTTCTAATTTACACCAAGACAAGATACAAGAATCCGGTTATATACATAACTGAGAATGGTAAGTCGTAAGCCAGTCACTGCTCGATTTGTTTTACATATATAGCGGCTGCCGTGTTTATAGCCAAGATTTTCTGTTAGAGCAACTAAAAATGGTGTACTTTCAGGCATCCCTGAACCCAACAATATCACGCTGATAATGGAGGAAGCCCTGAAGGATGACGTGAGAATCAACTACCACAGTAGGCATTTTCAGTTTCTTCTGAGAGCCATCAAGTGAGTGTTCAAAAACCGTGGATACTTTCTAGATCAATCTCTAGCTGACCTCACAGTTCTTATAACTCTTCTTACCGTGTTTGGTTGAAGTGCAAATCTTAACCAGATACGATGGAATTTTACACCCATTTCATCAGTTTTGCATTTGTTTATTTGCAACTATGATATATATTTCTACCTGACACAAAATTTGTACTTGTCTCATTTGCATTTATTAATGTTGTAAATTTTGCATCTCAAAAGTTGATGCAAATTTTGCATCACCTTCCTCCTATACCTCAATTTTCTAACATATAAAGTGGAGACCACATCATCATCTTGCTTCCAAAAAAGTAAATCAAAATTTGCACCAGCCTTTTTTACAACAGTGCAAATAAAACAACCAAACACAGCCTTAGAACAAGTTAATTGGTAATTCTTTTGCAGTTATGAGTTCTGACTGGCCTTGTTTATTCAATTATACCTTCTCTTAAAAGCTTTTCATGTTTAATCATAATTAAGATTATTAATTAACTTGTGCAACTTTTATATGTTCTGTAGGGAGGGTGTGGATGTGAGAGGATATTTTGCATGGTCATTGTTTGATCACTTTGATTGGGCTTTGGGTTACACTCTTCGGTACGGTATCGGATATGTGGATTACAAAGACCGATTGGAAAGATATCCCAAGCGTTCGGCAATTTGGTTCAAAAGTTTCCTCAAAAGCTATAATAAAATGTAACTTATCTTAGTGCCAGCTTATGATAAGTATGTAGTACTCATTGTGTCTCCGAAATTATAATTTACCAAATAAATAATGAGATAAGAATGAGAAAATATTAACGCCCCTTATCGATCCCCGTCCTCTTATATGACTGTCATCTTCTCTAATTTTTTCAATCTTTTATTTCCGCTTCTATTTGAATCTTTATGTTGTTGTTTTCTTTCGTAGTGAAGGTTCAAAATTTTGATAAGATAAACCCAATATCTCGTATCGGGTATATCATACTTCATACCATATTGGTGGGGCTCTGATACAACAAATAAAAGGAATTTGGGAAGTTGGACACTGTCAGCGAGTAAGCAGGCCTAAAACTGACCCACTGACCAATTTTGAAAAAAAAATTAAAAAAAAAAAAGGTATTTTGTTGTATCCTGAAGGTTGTGATGATATAATGTGAAAATTCAGGAACTCTTGTCAAGTTTGTACATAGGGCCCAAACTTCTTCAACAGTCCAAAGTGGAGGCAATTTTCTATCACAACTAGAATTGCTAATAATCAAGAGAGATTAAGAAAGAGTGTTATGTTGAGAGTGAAAAATGTTCTCAGTGGTTCAAGTGCATTCCTCGATATTTTTTGTTCTATTTATAGACTCTTTTATGACTGTTGGGTTTGTTCCAATGGATAGGAATTACCCACAAATCTCTCTAGACAGTTGGGATTAGCCTCCACTGGGATGAGACACTTGTCCCTAGTTGTTGAGACATTTTCTCAACCAACAACTACTCTAGTGGACCAAGTTTAAAAGAGATAAGTCAAAACAGATTTTATTTTACATGAAAATAATAAATAATAATAATTGAAAAAGATGTACTGATTGTGTGTACATGCTGGTCCACAGAGAGAAAATACTCTATCGAACGTGTGCTTATTCCCGTTAGCCTACAAATAGTCCTACACGTCGAGGATGATATATATCAAGAGTCATAGACCACTCGATCCAACGTATCCAAACACTCAATATGCACATTATATTGATACCTTAAAAGCATGAATATGTCCAAGTTAGATAGAATGATAATTGAGAGTTATATAATATGTGTTTTACACTCTTGATCGATATTCATTATCAGTAAAATTGTTCCAATCCTAGTAAAAAGAGTTGTTGCAAATTGCGAAGGCAAAGAATTGAGATTCCTGTCACTTCTCCAACCAGGCAAAAGTGGTTAAAATCACTACTACCGTTCTGTACATTGCTTCCATTCTACATTGATTTTTATTCACCTTTCTTTATTTTACACCATCTTGTTGTCTAGGGGTTTTATCACCTATATTAACATCAATTTACTCCTTTGTACAAATTATCAAAATATGCATTTTCATGTATTTATGGGGTTTGTTAAAATTTTCCCATGTCTTGTGCAGAAACTTCATTAATTATAATGGGGGTGAGAAGAATCGAACACTTGACAACTTGGTCAAAGTGGCTATGAAATCATCTCAGAAAACCATTCAACCTAAAAGCCTAAGCTGTTAAGTGAGGTCCTTGAATAAGTCTTATGATTTATTCTCTAATATACTTCACCCATAAACTCAGAACATCTAAAATCTAGACCACACCTCACTAATTTCCCATGCGCTGCTACAATATAAACAGGTATTGAACCTTTCATATATATTTGGTAAACAGAGATTAAAGTTCATTTGATTGATGATTGTCTGAAAGACTGGAATACACTAAAATTGGTCTGAGACCACCCAGTTAGCCATCCAGAATATCCATCTTTTTACGAAGGAAAAAAGAAACACTAGTGTTCTCGCACTCAGCTAGAATATTTTTACAAAAAAAAAGAAAGCATCTTGAACAACAGATATGTCTTTAGAAGATAAAGCCTGGATCAAAGATTGGTTATCATTTTCCACCACAAAAGGACCAGGGAAAAGCTTTTTTGCTAGCTGAATTCCACGAAGACAAGCTAAATTATAACGTGTCATTTGTGCCATTTTCACAAAGGTCATTATAAAGAAAATTAAATGGCATCCAAAGGGCATTTGTATCATTTCACATTGACAGTTTTTGAAAGTTTGGATATTATAGTGACATGTTTTGAAAACTACCCCCAAAGTTTAGGGTATTAAACTGAATTTTTCCCAATAAAAAAAAGGTTTAAAAACAAATTTTGAATATAAAAATTATACAGTTAATGGATGAAAACATTCCTAAACAAGATTTTTTTTTTTTTTTTGATAGTCAAGAAACACCTTACAACAAAGGAAAACAAACAGAAAAACAAGGGAAATAAACTAAACAAACACCACTAAAGAAAGAAATTTCCTTAGTCCAATAAAACTTGACAAGCCCGGGCGGGGGTCTCCACCAAAACACTTCGTTTTGAGCTTTGGCCACGACAATTCATGTGGGAACTATTCGTTAGAAAACCATCACCACGCTATTGGGGGCCAACAATCTATGCTGTTGAAAGCATTTTTAGGCTGAACACGTTAATCCATTCTCGCTCATGTCTATCTTTTTAATAAAAGAAAATAGGGGGCAATATTTACCCTATCATGACAACGTTGCATTTTCAAAAAATTTCTCAACAGCATACGCTGTTGGCCTCAAACAGCCAAAGTTTTTCACACAAAGCTAGCAATGGAATTTCACAAGTTATCCTCTTGTTTCAAACGGAAAGAATTAAGGAAACAAACATTCAAATGATATATTGCTGTAGCCCCACCTGGAATTAGATCAAGTCACCTCAAGGTGGAATGACAATCGCACATAGAAGCAGTGATTCATATTGTCATAGAAAAAGTGAACCAGGAGGTGTTCCATACGAAAGGTATCCCGTGGATCAAACGGTTTTGAAACATTATTCTTTTAGGGGTGTATCATGCTTAATTGTTTATGGTTATAATATATAAAATATTACATACTCTCGTAGCAAAAGTGCACCAGGAGGTGTTCCATACGAAAGGTATCCCGTGGATCAAATGGTTTTGAAACATTATTCTTTTAGGGGTGTATCATGCTTAATTGTTTATGCCTTTATTAGTCCCCTTCTCTCTCATTAATTTTATTAAATTATATTTAAGGCCAAATTAACTCTCATTAATTTTATATCTACTTTTATATTTAAATGAATTTTTCTCTCATTAATTAGTTAATTACTCCTATAATTAATGCATATTTTAAATTTAAATTTCAGTTTTAGTGCTTAATTAGAATTCTCTTCTCATTAATTTCGTTAATTAACAACCCTCTTTCTCATTAAATTCATTTTGTTAGTATAAAACTACAAATTAGCAATAACAAGATTCGAACCCTAGACATTAAGCCTTAAGAACTAGAGATTCACCACCAAGCCACGCCCATTTGCTTGCTATTTGTTTATGCATTTTTATTTAAGTAATTTTTCTCTTTTCCTTGGTGTATGCTTATTAATAAATGTTAGAATTAAATATTAACATTTATGTATTAATAAATATTAAGATAAATTATATTGATTATTTTAAAACTAATATATATCAATTACAAAGTGTGTCTCCATATCTCAAATTTTATATAGACCATTAAATTACAGTTTTTTAATTTTAAATAACTTATTTACAATCATCTAAAACATGCAACTATTGTTATTAATATATTTTTTAAGATCTATTTAAGTTTTTTAGCATATTTATACATATCTTAATTTTTTGTCCATATCCATATGCATCTAAAGCATGTCCTGATAAGTCTCTTAAAATTATCTTTCCGATACACCTTACATTTCCGATACTTTAAATCAGATATTTTAGTTAGCTAAGTTAGCTGATAATAGTTACTTTATCTTTCAAAAAAGTAAATATATTATAATATAATAAATGACCAGAGTACTTTATTTGAAAATTTGCAGAAAACACATCCACGCCACATTACAGAAAACCTTATCGAGTGTGGTGTGATTCAAAACCATGTACTGTCAATCACACCACAGAATCCAAGTAAATTTAAACACAGCAGAACATAAACACCACAGCCTAACGCTGTGGTTGGTTTGAAAGAAAAGGTAGAGAAAGGAAGGAAAAGGTAAGGAAATCTGTACAAGGTTGTATAAGGTACCCTACCTTTTTCCTTCCTTTCTCTACCTTTTCTTTCACACAAACACAGCCTTGCTGCCCCTGCACCAAAACAACCCAGGGTTGTCAAGTGTCAATCAGAGCTCAGGGCTAAATGGCTAATCAATTGAAAAACAACCAGGTGCATTCTAATGCTAGCCCCAAATAATTGGATTCATATCAAACATCATCATCATCAAGCCTTGTCGCAACTATATGCTGTTGATTACACAAATGCTATTTTGACACTCTATTCTGTTTAATGTCACATCCATTGTTAGATTCTTGACATTTATCATGTCAGTCTTACTACTACTCATGTCATTTTTGGTTCACCCCTTGTATTTGTATCAAATCCACTTCTTCAGGGTTCTGATGGTTTTCAATGCACATGTCCAAACCATCTTAGTCCAATTTCTCTCATTTTATCACATATTGGAGATACTCGTAAGTTCCTTGTTCCTACCAATAACTTCATTTCTGATTCTACTCTTCCTAGTTTTTGCACTCATCATTCTCAGCATTGTCATTTCTGCATACTCATTTTCTAATAAAAAGTGTATATCTACTGGTTTCTAAGAAAAACGGGCACTAACTTTTCCCTTTTCATATAAGGGCCTTCCAAATGTATTGATTGTTACAGGAAAACCTATGGGATACCTGGTTATGGCTGCTTATTACTTGTTCTGAGTAACAGCAATACCAATGAGGTACTACCTCAATACAAATCGTCCATGGCCTAAGTACAATTAAATTAGAACCGTAAAGGCAATTATGTAAAAGATTAATTTCAAATGTTGAATATTTCCCTTGCAGCAAAATATCAAACAAGAATAAAAATTCCAGAGATATTCTATGTCAACCGTACATAATAGAGTAAACTTATATTCAACTAAGGTTCCATATTAATATGCCAGCACCTGTAGTGGCTAAAAACAAAAATTCACAACTAGAACCATCATCCTAATCCTAAAATAACTCCTCAAATTTGAACCTTACTTCTCTGATGAGTTGGGGCCCCTCTTCTTTCCAAAACCGACAACTGCAAATAAGAAAAACAAGAAGTGGAAATTATTAACCCAAACATAAAATTATCAACTACATCATAAATACAAAGGGAACAAAGGACGCATTTTTAACTCTCGTTTAGAACCCATAATAGGTAAACTCTGCCTATATGAATCATATTTCGTGAATTCCTCAACAAACCATTGACACGTAATTAAGAAGAATGGAGGCTTCTCTGGGTAATGTTCAACCAATGCTGTTAATTTCATCTTGTAAAAATATACATTTTTGATAAAGTTTTTTTTCTTGTAATGCCGGATACATAAACATTTAGTCATTTACCTTGTCTATTGAGAGGGATCATACCAACTTATACAGCACGAAGATGAATTCAAGATAAATATCAGATAACAAAATAAGTTAAATAGAAGGACATGATACGTTGCTACCATCCTACAAACATTTAGTCATTTACCTTGTCCGTGTTAGGTTTAAACCGGTTTCCAGGGTCTAGTTAATCATATAGGCATAAATCACAGAAGAATTACTAGTCGTTATGACTACATATGCACACTTCAAATCTAATAATATGGCCTACTCAAGCAGGATAAACGGCGAGAGAACAGAGAAAGAAAGAGAGAGGACAAGAAAGAGACGTACCGGCTGTAACGAAACGCCGGTTGTACTGCATGCGCTTGTGAGCCCTGCCTCTGGGCTTCTTCTTCTTGTCTTGTTTCGCCACCTTTGGAGTTTGGCCTCTCACCTTCCCGGCACGAGCCAGAGATCCGTGAACCTTACCTGCAAAAAATACATCACAACAAGCAAAAAAAGAACATACAGAAAAAAAAAAAAAAAAAAAAAAAAAAAACTCAATCCACGAAACAGAGAATCAGAAACAACACATTGAATCTCAAAAGAAGGCTCTTCAAGAGATTATATTGGTGAGAGGGGAAGATCTGAACAGAGAGAATGCGCTCACCCATTTCGAACGGATTGTTAGGGTTGGTTGATGTGCTCCTGCAGCTGACGCCTCTGACTCGATCGGCGAAAACAATCGACAGAGCAAAGAAGAAAGCAATTTCTAGGGTTAGGGCTTTTGTAGATATTGGAAAAGCTGGGTTTCTGAAAGTATACCCAAACTACGGTATACCATCAAACTCCGCAATCGCGCATCAAAAGATTAAACATGCGGCATGCCCTATTATGTGATCATCATGATTCTTTTCGGACGGTCAAGAACTATACATCCAGGTAACCTGTTTCTGTCCTCCAAGTAGCACGTGCGCATCTAATACACGTCTGATGTAGATCAGTTGGCTCCCATTTATTTCTACGAAATGAAATGTGCCCTGATCGAGCTTCAGAGCCCGTTTGCGAGCAATCCAGATCTTCTACCTATAATAACCCTACCCAGTACCCACACTTATCCACAATAAATTTTGGTTAATTGAGTTTTTTTTATTAACCGAAGTTTTAATCTTTAAAACGGGAATCAAAACTGAAATTTTATAAAATTGAATTAAATAAACCCGAAAAAACAAAAAAGAATCAAAATAATTGAATCAAACAAATCAAAACTGAAAATTTTTATTCCATTTTTTTAACTGAACAATGCTCACCGCTAGTTGTGGGAAAACCCTCCCAAACAAATGGGTACTTTGCACTTATGCTTTTAACTATTCCTTTTTCTTTCTTTCTTGTGGAAAGTCAAGTTCTACTGGCAACAGGATGCTTCCAACATGTCCAAATAGGCCACTGCAAGGGAGATATTCCCAATGTAAGGCTGCATTGGCCACTGCATTGGCCAGTTGGAACAGTGTCAGAGAGCATTTTTGTTGTTAGCATGTCCCTTTCCCTGGTGGAAGGACCAGGTCCAAGAAGCTCAAAGCACAAACCCAAGCTGTGCTTAAGGTTGCGTTTGATTGCAATGCAATTTTATTTGTACTAATACAAATGCATGAGAATGCAAATTTTTGTTTAATTTTATTTGGGGTTTTACTTTGTGCTAGTTCATGTGTTAATTCACTTTATTTGTATTACAATCAAATAAAATAAGTTACATTTTAAAACAAAAATAAATTAAAATTTATACTCAAATCATTTGCAGTGCCATAATTTTACATTAATACAAATTTATTTGCATTACAACCAAACACAACTTAAAGTACATAACATTGGCCCAATTCTAAAAATTTCTGGACTGGGTCATAAATGATCATTCCCTGCCCATATAAAGTTGGGCCAGCTGCTGTGATTGGACTGACCTCGACCCATGTTACATAACTACTTTGAGGCTGGAGCTGGATTTGATCGGGATTTGCTTGAAGTATAAAGTATAAACAGTAAAGTTTTAGGAAACAGTGACTCTTTGAAATACCATAAAATTATATCAGACATAGATCTACTCCAATCAGATATTCTTTTACAAATAATCAGATAAAAATTTAGCATTTATATGTATAGCTATGTTTATATTGCAAGGATCAAAATTTTGATCCGATATATCCCGTATTGAGTATTATCGTACCGTATCTTTTGGTCCCCAATACACTTGTTTACAGGTGTTTTTTAGGGTCCATTTGTCTTAAAATTACACACATATATGAAACTTAATATATATATTAAAACAATAGGAGGAGTACCAATTCACTTCAGTCGATACATAGAGATGTATTGATATTTGAGTCATGCTTATATCTGCATGAGATTATGATTTTCTCTCGATTAATAATTGGTCCGGGATTGATTTTTGCTGTTTCGAACCAATTCAAAATCAAACCTATATAATTAATAATATATAAAGATCTTTCTTTTTTTGTAATTTTTGTCTAAAATGATAAATTTCATAATCAATATATCAGCTAATTATGATTAAAAAGCATATTTTATCAACATATTAAAATTTTTATAATTTAGTATCAGTTTCATTAAGGTCTTACTATCAAAATGGAGTTCTAAATTGCCATTATATAAAATAGATACTTGCTTTGGCATATGTGCAGTTCATAAAAAAGTTAAATTAAAGCATTGGGGTTGATATAAGGTTGTTTGTTTTTGCCCTTTATGTTAAACAGGTGCATATTTACACTGATCATTGTCAACTAAATATAGATGACAAAAATAATAGGATCTAATCGGGTTAGACCCCTTTTCAATTAATATTTTGTTTGGTTCATTAGAAATAGAGGCTCAGTTTGGATGGAGTACAGATACAAATATGTATAGTGCAAATACATACAAAATAATACAAAATACAAGGTTTTGCACCCTACAAATTTGCATATGTACTCCTTCCGAACTGAGCCATAATGTTTTCTATTTTTGTGGCCAACTCACTCTCTTATTTCACTGGGAGGGCGTGGAGTTCTGTTAAGATTATTTGTTTCTTTTGTGGATTTCATAACTTCGTTTAGGGATCAGATCGAATTCAAACCATGGTATATTCGAATTCAGTCCAAAGATTCGATCAGACCTTATAGGACTTGATTTGAAGTCGAATCCTATAGGTAAGTCAGATCTCCATACTTGATCTGATTTGACTTATTTTCTTTAAAAATAAATAAATTATTAAAAGAAAAATAAAATATACTAACTTAAATAAAGTAAAATAAAAATGCAAGTATTTTTATTTATTTTCATCATATATATACTTGTTTTTATAAATAAATAAATAATATAACAAATTTATAAAAATATAATATAAAAATACATTTATAAATAAATAAATAACATACATATATATGCATTATATTTATATTTATATAATATACATCGGATCTGATCTTCTTTGAATCAGATAGGGGTGATCTAAATCCGATCAAAAGACCCAAACAGGGGTTATCCAAATTTGACCAAATTGGATCGGATCTAATCAGATCATGATCCGATCCATTTACATCCCTAATTTCCTTTACCCATCAAAAGAGGAGGGCGTGGAGCTCTCTTTCTATGTGTGTGTATGTGAATGTGCCATGTCATACCATGAATGATTAGAGCTATAAAGCGGGTCATGCTGCCCATGGGCTGACACTACACGACACAAACAAGTAGGCCCTTGTTGGCGCAGGCCCGCAACCCAGTATGGTCCATATATTTTATTTATTTTTTTCAATTTTATTATACTATTTTATTCCAATTGTACTGTACTTTTTATTTAATTTTATTATTTCCTATATAAATAATTGTATATATCAAAATTCATATGGAATAAAATTTTAAGATTTTTTTTCAGTTTATTATCTATTTTGTTAATTTCTTTTGATTTGTTCATTATTTTTTTCAATTTAAAAAAAAATGCCTTTTACTACCTGGCCCACAAACATAGTATAAGCCTGCTTGGGCTCGTGCCATAGGCCGTGTTGAGCTTGACCTTTGAAGGGTTCCAAGCTAGGCAAACATAATCTTACCCAAGCCTGTGTGTTGGCATAACACGGCCCACTAAAGCATGATAGGCCCAGAAAATTGTGTCATGCCGGCATGGCACAATCCACTTTACACCTCCATGAAGATTGAAGAAGGACCAGACCACTTACATTTATCAAGCTTATAAATGCAACATATGACATGTATAAGTCATTTATAATAATGATACAAGAAAGTATGAAATAAGTAAATAACTAGTAAAAGAGCTCTAAACAAGATGCTTCCTATAATGGATTCATCTAGTGGGTGTTTTGCACCGAAGTGTTTCACAAGTGTTCCCTTTCAGCTGATTTGTCATGTGCAACACATAAATTTTTCAAAGGAATTCGCAAGAAAATCACATTTGGCAATCTTGTTGGATATTTTTGTAATGATTCGAGGAAGGAGGGGTTTCTTGAAACATGAAATTGATGTTTATTGAATCGCATTCGTGATCCTGAACCGCTCTGGTGACATCCCACATTAAAATTTGAAAAAGCTAACTACTTTTCTTAGATGTCACATAGTTGTCATTATAAATATATTATAATATTAAATAAAATCATTTTAAATGCCCAATCAGCCTATATCCCTTTTTTTATGTTTAAAAAAACAAATAAAATAAAAAACTTGTGAATCAAAGATTATTCAGAGCCCACGTGTGAAACAAAACACTTGTAAAACGCTATGGTGCCAAAGCCATGCTTTTTTTTTAATTGGGACCATATATCGTCTTATGTAGAAAACTGAGGCCCATACCATAACATTAGTTGGATATTTTCCTATTCAACTTTCAGGAAATAATGGTATTTTCAAGTTAGAGTGCAACTTGGGTCAGGTCAGATTGGAAATTTCTTAAAATTTAAATGGGCCGGAACCATAATCCAAGCCTGTTGTAGTTGAAAATTTTCAAATAGGGTATCCCACCTTGCAATCCTAGTCACATCTTCGAGGAAGAAGGCATCTTGTTTAAGAACTCTGCTTAATAAAATATATAATAGTAAGAGAGCCCATGCATCTTTTATGGGTGCACATGCATGAACAGCAAAAGAATCCATTATAGGAAACATAGGTTTTGGAGTGACAAGGGACCATTATTTAGTGTAGTTACTAAATCTCAGGCTATCAAGCACGAGAATGCCGGTTCAAGTCTAAAGGTCTGTTTGGTTCATAGTTGGGATTGGATTTTGTTGGAATTCTAATCAGAATGGTCTATAAGTCTATTTCTATAATATGTTTGGTTCAGACAATAATTAAAATAGGAATTGGAATCAATTGGAATGAAATTTTATTCTTAAAGGAGGAGGAGGAAATGACTGTTTCCTTAAATGGAGGAATGTCATTCCACTAGGAACGAGAATGGGATTCTAATTCTGCCTAACCAAATAATTAAAATCAAAATGGCCCATTACGATTCTGATTCCAAACCCTTATTCTGATAAACCAAACAGAACCAAATAATAGCTACTTTGTGCAAATAAAAGTTAGAGAGAGAGAGCGAGAGAGAGTATTAAGATGTGGCTTCCTTTCCCTGTTTTGTATAAAAAATGGTAAGTGCCATGCGAGCCCATACCTACACTAGCTTTCATGTTTATAGATTTATAACATTGAGAAAGGATGACATATTTAAGATGGTTGATGAATAAGGACAAATGGGAAATCCACAATACTGTGTGAAATATTGATCCCTGT